ACAGTATCTGGTGTAGCTCCAGCTTTAGCATCAGAACTTTTTTCATCATTACTATGTTAACTTTGTGAGGCAGTAGTGTACGCAATTTTACTGCACATCATGCGGTAGCTTGTGTCTGTGGATTGGTATCTTGCGCACTGATTTAGGTGGGGCTTTTATAGCTCACAGTCAAATTGTTGGCACTGAATTTAGCAAATGACAGGAGCTTGAAATTAGATTCCCAGGACTGTCTGAACATCAGTGTCACAGATGCTCCTTTTCTGCACTGTTTTGTTTTTTAATTCCAACGGTAGTTCTTACCTTTCTTTTTCAACACTGTCCTCCTTTTCACTCATGCAAGGAGCATTGCTGTGCACAGATCCTGAGCAGTGGAGTTCTCATGTCTGCTTCAGAAGGAAAGTTGTCATTTCATTTGCATTTGTAAGAACTGCAACAAGTATCCCAGCAGCCAGCCTCACAGCAATGAGAATGAGACCATCACAGGTTCAGACAAGTGCCTGCAAATCTCCAGGTGCTTCAGGCACTCGCTAACCACCTGCGCGCAGCGGAGAACAGCATCTGCGTCTGTGAAGTGAGCAGCAAGGGCTGGGATCAAATCACTTGGCAGTATCCTCAAGGCCACGTCCTTGCAAGAGTCTAGAGTCTCTCTGACACAGGACAAATGGATGGTGATTGCTATTCTACAGAGGAGATATCGTTAACAATTGCACTTTGGGAGTTTCCAGCCTTAGGTTCTTATCATTAAGTGAGCAGTCGCTTCAGTGGGGGAAGTTATTACATGGGTGTGCTAGGACATTCAATATATGCATTATGGAAGAAACAGTATTGGCAGCAGTAAGGTTCCAAAGTTGCCATGGGTCATGTATGGGACATACATCCTCATTCCATCTTCCCTTCCTTTTGACTACCTGAGCAGTAAAGAAGCTTCACAATGGTGCAAATGCTGGTGGGTTGCAGGGGAGGCGTCACACACATTAATGTTTGTGGGGCAAGTCAGGGATTATAGCACTTGCACATTTAAGAAGGTGAAACTTTTGCAGAGTTAAGCCAGATCTTGTCACTGGGCTGATGCATTCAAATTGGGGTGTTTTAAATACCTGGAATAATTCTGGGGACCTGACCCATGCTTTGCTTCTTTTGACTCACAGAACTACACAAGGGCCACTGGAGAGCAGCAGGGAAGGGCTTTACCACCAGCTATGAAGATAGTGCAGGTGGCTGTGGGACGTGCATTTGGTGTTTTCAAAGGATATGGCATAGACTGCTTGAATTTCAGTGGTTTCAGTGGTCTCAGTACTCTAATTTTTATTTCTAAGTGTCTTGTTTTACTTAATATTAATGAAGCAGAGTAGGAAACATCTACCTGAGGAAATTAGGAGTGGTGATTTTGAATAGCTTGACACCAGTGTAGTCACCGCAGTACAGTTGAGGGAGTGTTAACAGCTCACTTTAATAGTGTGCCTTAGTATTGCTGGGGGTTGCTCTTCTGTAGTTAAACTTGGCTTGAATGTGAACGTTAAATAATTTATAAATGTCTGTTATAAATTTGGTGGAGAAGATGCTGATTTGGGCTGTGGGTTTCATTTTGACTGTAAATCATACTTCATGGAGCAAACACTTTTAATAGAAATAAGTAGAAAACACACTTATTGTTAGCAAGAGTAATCTTACCAAAACCTTTGAATGATGTTTGGAGTGGGGAGTATTGACTGCCCCTACAGAAATAAAAGGGTGCGGGGGGGTGTACATATGTATCCCCATCGCAGTTCTTTTAAGCACCTTTCTCAAGTGCTTGGTGGAGCCTGGAAAATGTTTTTCCTTTGTGTTTCTGTTACTTCTACTATTTTAACCTGAAGCTTAACAGAGATGCTGTTAGACTTGCGATCTTGGTGGAGAAGAGAAATCTTGAACTTGTAAATATTTTTGCACAGAGGTCTTGCTAAAAGTATGCAGACTTGTTCAGAGCCAGACTCATTTAGGGCAGAGTGTTTCCAAACTGTTCTGCAGCTCCATGACTTAAGAGTATCATGGAGATGCTATCTGTGCAGGTGTTAAAAACACGAAGCCACAATCAGGGAGGGGGGAGGATGGCGTTGATTATTCTGGGTTCGAGTATAGGGACAGTGCAGTTAATGTTGCTGAACTTGTTACAGGCAGTGGTGATTATGGCAGATATATCACTTCTGTGGGTGACAAAGTCCAGAGAAGGTAACTTTGCAAGACCACCGTGGTTCATACTCTGCCAGGCTGTCCACTGCCAGGATGACCACAGAGCTTGTCAGAGATGGGCACTGGAAAGTCTCCGGTCAGAGTGGGAACAATATGGCCACCCTTTGAAATGCCTGGCAAAGGACCAGAGATGTCTTCTGGAGACTATCAGGATGGTCCCCGAGGGCAGAAGAAATGCTCATTCCCCGATGATGGGAAGAAAACCCTGAAAGAGAAGAAGGGTTGTTGCCACAGCTTGCTCATGAGTCAAAGCAAATTGAACCCTCCTGCTGCTCCGAGTGCTGCCTGTGCGGTAAACCTACCTCTGCCTCTGTTGAAATGCAGGACAAGCGTGGTGTGTTCTGGACTTGGGCAGTTGGATCTGGAAACTCAAACCATCGATTTTTGCTAGGTTTGCGTTACATGCTAATGTTAGAAATACTCTCCCCACAATCATGCAGCCTGACCAGACATTTACTAGATTGCTTAGAAGGATTATTAAAAATTTCCTGTGTACTTTATTTTTTTAATAAGGTATTGATTTCGATATATTTCTGTTCATACTTGCAATGAATTGATTTATGGTGGTAGAAATTCTGTTTTGCTGCCAAAACCTAATGGGTACTAACTAATTCAATTTTATCTATTTTTTTCTTTTTTTTTTTAACCATTAGTTCTTTTTCAAAAATAAACTGGCTACTCCAGAATTTGGTTCCTTTGCTTTGCCTGACATTTTGAATGGGTCAAGGAAGGACAGGAGACAGAAGCAAACGCTGGCATCCCAGAGATGCTGTGGTACAATTACCACATATGTTGTATGTCTCCTCGCAGCTCTGCATGTTCCGTCAGTCAGACCCCTGCCACCCCCAGCACTTTCTGTGTATCAGGGTAAAATGGCTCAGTTCCACTGTTTTTCTGCCAAAACTCCTCTCTTGGCTAGAGGATTTAGGGCTATTTTAAATTAACCATTCTCTTACGACATCCAGAACTTGATTTGAATCTCTTGTGTCATATATGTAAATGTTTTGTATAATGGTTTTGACTACTCTTTAATAAATAGGTGGATATTTTAAAAGATACATGCTGGTGTTTCTAGTCACTGAATTTAAGTATGTCAGTTTTCCATGTAACATTATAAAATCAGAGACTTTATGTCCTATTTTGTGTTTCTTAACGCTATCACGTCCTCTGCCTTTCCCTTTTCAGATGATTATTAATGAACAGTTTTAGTTTTCAGATGCCTGAATTACTTTGGAAATGAGCAATCTGGGAACTGTGGAGAACAGCCACACACTTTAAAGTTTTTGTACATGGTCCTATGCTGTATTTTTGTGTTGTGTTTTTAAACAGCTGCCCTAAGAGCCGTAAACATGATTATGCGGTATAATAGTATCTCTTGACTGAGTTGCCAGAAAGTAATCATTCTGCAGGGTTGCTGTGTAGTACATCTTCACCCCACATAATGGCTTTGTACTAGAATCAACAGGAGCAAAAAGGAAAATATTATCAATGCCTGGTAGACTCTAAATATTTTAAACAGTTTACATTCATGGGTCAGAAGAACTCGTGTGTTTTATTTTGCTGTTTGTGAGCATTCAGGGTGTCCTGTCTGCACCATTGCTGGACTTAGTATGTTTCAGTGCTTTCATTTCACTTTTGATGTGAACCTGAGTGTGAAGTGCCACAAGTGTCAGGCTGCTCTCATCTGAGAGTTTGATTAAAAAAAAGTAAAATTCTTATTTCTTTTGGTATGATAAATGATCCCACGTTTAATAGGTATGTATTGTAATAAGATACTGTTTAATAGATATGTGTTATCCCTTCTGCCTTAAATAGAAAATTGACATCTAAACTTCAGATGTATTTAACGGCTATATTTAAGTGTTTGTCTAGTTCCCTCTATACAAGTCATTCCTTTCAGAGTAGGTCTGAAATATCTAAGAAATAAGAAATACATGCAGTTTTGTCCTAATAATAACTGAGTATCTCAAATGCCAACCTGTGCTCTCCCTGAAAGTTTAAAAGAAAACAGTAGAATGTGCAAATATGGAAGAAAGCTAAAATACTTGAAATGTAGCCAGTAGAGGCAAAGAGGAGATGTGAAGAGGGCAAACACTGGGTTGGCAGCATCGCACTCTGTCTGGGACAGCCCAGCCAGCTCCATCTCTCCACTCACCCTCCTTGCACTGGAACACCCTTGGGGGAAAAGAGTCACAAGTAATAAGTTTAAAAAAAACCTTGGTGCTGAAAAAGAATAAATTTACATTTTTGGATGGCATCCACCGTGTGGTGAAACTGCTCTGTGGGGTGGGTGTGAAGGGTGGTACTGTGCTCTGGGCAGCTGTCAGACATACAGCGCCGCGTCTCTTGCAGTTCATACGTGAAAGCCTTCACTTAATGTAAACTTGAGTTGCATTCTTTGGCAGTTATAGTGTTCAGTAATTTCTAAAACATTGTTTGACTATGTATTTAAGAATAGTGACCCCAAAATCCTGGCAGAAAAAAGGAATGCGGTCCTATTATTTTTTTTTTTGGTTTGTTCTGTTCTTTAGTGAGGAATTCTATAAACTTTTAAGAGGAGTGAAATAAAAATAAAATTAAAAAAAAAAAACCTATGCAAAAAACCCTGAAAGCAGCCTGAAATAGTAAATACTGACATTCTGAGGTCTTTGCACTTTCCCTTCCTGATTTCCAAGCAGCCCTTCTTGGAAGACTCACTTTGTCATAGGAAAAGGAAAATACAGTTTTGTTCATTTCACAAGTTAGATTCTTTTTTTGTGTGTTATTAACAGGTTTGGCAAACATCGCAAAGATGACAAGAGTGAGAAAACTGGTAAAATAAAAGTGCAGGAAGCTCTTACTTCAGAAGAGGAGAGAATACGAATGAAGCAAGAACAGGAGAGGTAGACTTCAGTATTTGCTTAAACCTTGATAGAGAGAGTTTGTTTTATAAATTAAATAACTGAAGTTCAATTTTCACTGATGAAATTTCCCAAATGTTGATATGTTTATATATTTTAAATAACAAGACAAAGCTGGATTTATTTTGGACATTGGTATCAACAGCTTCTTTGGCTGCATTAAGCATCTTTTATAGACCCAGAGCTCCTTTCCTTATTGAGGAGACTGAAGTAATAAAATGAAATGCTTTCTCTATATATTCTATAACTGATTTTATTGACATTTTCAGAAAACAAATATTTATAAAGAATGAGGTATGTTTTGTATTTTTCTTCAAAGTCTTACATATCTAGTTTTTTCATTGATATATTTAGAAAAAACCTAAAAATTATACTTACCAGTATATTTGTCACTGGAGTTCAGTCTATTTATGTCATGCAGTCTGTTTATGGAATGATATGTATATTAAACTGCTAATTGTAAAAATGAGTGGTGAGTACCTCTATTTTTCCTTGTCAGCTCCCCTTAACATTAAAAACCTATGTAATGTATATGTCATATGCTCTTCTCAGTATTTCCAATCTACTTTTCATCCTATCTCTTGTAGCCCTAGATATTTGGGGCCTAGACTCTGGTATCTCTTATATCAGTTTAGTCAAAATCTTGGAAAGCTTAGGTCATAAATTAAGTAGTATTCGGGAATGTGTGTGGAGAGAAGACCTTTTTGAGTAGACGTCTCTTCAGTAAGGAGACAAACTTTAAAGGGTACAAAGTTTGAATGCTAAATGGTAAATGGGTTCAGACACATTTAGCAGTGAAAGTGAACTATGAATTGGAAAGATTTATCTAAAAATTATGCTATAGCTCAGCCATAAATTGAGATTTGATGCAGGAATTATGGAGGGAAATGTTGTCCTTGTACAGGAGGTATGACTAGTTAGTCCTAATGATCCCTTTAACCATCATCTCTATGCACCTTGGTCTTCTGTACGTAAGAACAGAAGTTTATAAATGATGGCTTCATCACTCGAGCAGCTCTCTGGAACAGCAGAGCCACAGTAACTCTTGTGTAGTCTCCTCAGTAAAACCTAAAATGGTTTGCTTTCAGTTCTTTTAGGGTTGAGCGATTTACGTTACAGTTAAGGCAGGCTAGGAGAATATATTTATTAGTTAATGAAGATCAGCAGTAACTTGTTAAACTGCAGAAACTTTATCATTTGTGACCATCTGTTTGGATTATATTATGGGAATTCTTTTACTCTTTAACAGATATACTAGCATAAATTGATGTAAAAATTTATTCGTGTCTTTCTCCATCCATTCTGACAGTAGAGGGTGGCTGGATCACAGTGCTTGGATGTTTTTTACTTGTCTGATTGGTTTTTATTTTCTCTTTTAACAAAAGTGAAGGAGGGTCATTAAATTTGTTCCTGTTTTTAAGAGTAATGTGCTTTCAGATTAAATGGTAAAGGGGAATACTGGAACTGACGGAAATAAGTGACTTTGGATATGAGGGTGTTTGTGCAGTTAACTTCCCTTTATGCGTGGTCAGACTAGCCACTTTGTGGATAAATTCATGCCAGGGGTGCGCAGCCATTGAAAGCTGCCTCCATCACTCCAGCCAGCTCAGGGCAGGGGGAAGGTTAGCCACACGTGCACAGCGCTGACCCCTGGCTTAACTGGCTTATCATGCTCCGCTGAACTTGAGCTTGCCCAGCACGGAGGGTTTCTTAGTAACCTTAGGTCCCCAGAAAATCAGCCATATACATTTATTCAAAGAAGAAAGACTTGAGGTTTGAGTTAGTAACATGTTCTCTCTCTTCGTTCTCTCTCTTTGTCTCTCTGTGTCTCTCAGTAAGAATGGTGAGAGTATAGACTGTCCATGTGGTGATGTAAGAGAGGTTGCAATAGTCACGCTGGGTACCAAGGTAGAACTATGAAATTATTTGTATAGCCCCCAATGCATGGAGCAAATTCCTAATCCCTGTCCATCAGGTTGTGCTAACCAATTTGAATCTTTCCTGGAATCTCACTCCTCATGTGTCATAAAAACAATTTTATGTGTTCACTGAAACTGCAGAAAATGCATGTGCCAGAACTTCATAACAGCTTGATGTTATCGTAACACGGGTCCTCCTCCTCCCGTTACTCTCTTTCCCTAACTGTGTATTTACTTTCCTTTGTGTTATGTCTATAAGAGAATGCAAGTTTTTGGGGGTAGTGGCATGTACAACTAATAAAAGACAATAAAATAGCAACCAAATGTGTGAGGTCCTTCCTTATGTTTCTGAAAAATTCAGATGTTGATTTGGTCCACAGAGACTAAATATTTTTGCAGTTAGATTGCAGAGAGTTTCCTTTTGATCCTGTAAAATAATGGTGTTAGATACATGCTATTAATGAAGAGTACTCTTGCAATTAACTGAACAATCCCTCAAAATGCTTACTAGGAGACCGAGTGAAATATTACTGTCAGTGTTGGTTCATAATGGCTGCTATTTTAACTTTGTTTTCTGTGGGTTTTTTTCCTCCTTGATGTTTTTAGCAGTACAATTCACTTGCTCTATTTTACTTGGTATTTGATACTATATACCTCTATAATGATGCAATACTTTGGGGAAATAGGTTGGATTTAATGAATTTACTATGTATGAGAGGCTAGGAGCAAAAATCCTTAGGGGGTCAGAGAACAAGTGAACGGTCCATTAAAAAATCAATCATGCCCACAATTTTATGGAATTATTATGCCTTGACTTGATAATTTTAATAGTATTGTGCTTACAACAGTATTTTCTTTAAAATCGTAAAAGTAATGTTCATATTGATTATGAGACAAATAAGCAAATTAATGCTCTTCAATTTACCATGATTAAGATGAATAAAATTGCCTTTTATAAACATATTATTAATAATAATTTCTTATTAAGGAGCATATCTCTTAAGCTGTATATGGTATGTGTTTACTGATAATCTTAAAGTACTTTTGAGCAGAAAATGAAATTACCTAGTTGAAAATACAGGCAGCTTTCAATGAAATAGACTACGGGAACAATTAGGAGCATCATCTAAGGAGACGACCCTCCAATCTTGCCAAAATTGCTGTAAAATGCTTGCTATTTGTAAATTTTCCAAATGTTGGTTTAACAGTTCATCCAAGGCTGTAGGACATTGTCCCCGTGTCACTATTCTTTAACACTGATTTACTCCAGAAAAAGAAGTATGCTTGCATTATCCTCGAGTATCTGCCAAGCACTGATCTGAAAATGCAGATGGGCTGTGGTGTGCTGTTAGAAAGGGTGCTTCTCCCCAGCAAAGGCACCAATCAAAACCTTAAGGCAAAACTAAGCCATAGGTTTTCTGAACTTGGTCTTGTGACTCCTAAGAAAGAGACTATACTGCAGAGTCTTGAGGAAGTTGAATAAGACGTGAATTCAGTTCTATTCCTGTGCCAGATCACAGCTGTTTTATAGATATGCTAACTTGGAGCCCCTCTTTGCCATGCTGTCATCTCATCCATCACTGGACTAGTAAAACTGGGTGCTACTGAGATGCTACATTCACTCGGACAGACTGAGAAAAAAGCCTTGGGCCCTTCTTGGTTTTCTTATAGAAGGTCTTCTATCAATTCCAGCGTCTCCTGATGCGCCTGTGGTTGGCCCATCTTCCTAAGAGTAATGTCTTAGACTTTACAGATTGGAGATGCATGGACTATCTTGAGCTTTCAGAGATGCTTCAAACTACTTACAGTCTTACACAGGCATTGCTATGTAGGATAGACTTAACACCAGACTTTGAAACTTTTGTCATGGATGGTCACCTTCTGCTGTGCTACTGGATCTAAACCTTTGGAAGCCCACAGACCTTTCCACTTTAGAAATTCTCTACGTCTGGTCTTTGAGGGGCTCCCAGGATAGGGTTTTCTCAATACCTAGCCAATGTGTCCATTGGTATCCTGCAACCTGATTGCCCTGACAGGTTTTCTGACTTCTTCAAGGCCCTGTAGACAGTCTCTTTCTTAAGAGTGAAGACAGAACTGTTCAGAAAACCTACTGCTTTTGTCTTCTGGTTTTTATTGGTGGCCCTTGCTGGAGAGAGACATCCCTCTAACAGCAGGTTCTGAAACCTTCGTCTCTCCCTCTTTCACCCTTGGATTTTTCCTTGGATTTCTTTTTTGTTGTTGGGTTGGTTTCCCCCCACCTCCATCCCCACCCCTGCAGCTCTGTGTTCATCACAAAACAAATCTTCAGCAAATCAAAAACCTTTGCTTGTGTTCTGCCCTTCTTCAGCTCAGGCATGTGCAGTTCTTGACACTGGCCTCACAAGGCCACGCGTGCCGGCCCTGTCTTCAGCCGTGAACTGACCTCCTCTAGCAAACCGAGTGCTCCCCAACCCAAGCAACTTTACTCTTTGTACCCGGGTAGTAGGTAACGGAGGAATGAAATAAGCATACTTCGTGAAGTTTTCACGGAATTCAGCTGTATCCGGCATGGTTCACTGCTAGATAATACTTAAAAGATGAAAGTTGCAATTCTAATGTAATCTCATGATTCAGAGTATGTGATCCCAGCTATGGGCGAATAGTGCTTATGCTTTAATCCGCCTCTAGAGGCACTTCCTCCTCCTGAAAGAAGAGTCTACAGGATATTTTCTCCGTGTGGTTAATACACTGACTTAAGAGATTCACTAATGTTCTCTAAATCTCTGGGTTACCATAAAAGTGTTTTAATCTTAGTATTGTATTCTTCCTCAACTTCCACTGAAACGGATGCAAAGTCAGGTGCTTAAACACCCGTGTCGCGAGGATCAGTCTTGAGGAGATAAGGAGAAACCTTTTGGAAGCGAATTAAAGAGCTGTGCTGGTGGAAGCGCTATGACAGATGCTCCAGAAATGCTGGGAGGATGACGGAGCAGTCGGATGGGGGCTCTGGGAGCCAGGGGCTTCCGCTGCTCTGAAAACGCAGCCGTACAGCTCCAGCCTCTGCTACACTTGCTGGAGGACAAT